AAAAAAAAAAAAAAAAGCCCATTCATATGAGCTTTCTTATCTGACTGGTTCAAGTTTTGAGTGGGTTTACCAGCTGTGTGAGCACGGGCAAGTCATTTAATTTCTCTGCACCTCAGTTTTCTTATGTTTAAATGGGGATAACAAAAACCCACTGTACTGGCTTGTGAGAATTTATAAATGAATATATGTCAAGTGCTTGGGATAGAGCCTGGCATAAAGCAAGCCTGTGATAAGTGTTACTCAGTTTGCAAATCAGGCAAGTTAGCACACATAACACTCACACACAACACACACAGACACACATCATTACAAATATTTGTAATATAAATATTATAAGTAATGCATCAAAATTTTACCATGGATTATCTCTGGAACTGGAAGGACTAGACTTTTTTTTTTTCTTTTAAATTCTCTGTATGTTCTAAATTCTCTTTACTTGAATAAAGCCAGCAATCCATTAATATTGAAGTATCTCCATTTTTTTCAAGTGGCCTTAATAATACTCCTTTCAATCTATTCAGTTTCTATAATATAATCCACTCTATGCATATTGTGTTTATGGAAATAGGGTACTTTTACTGATTTAATCTGAGGAGTAATATATTTTCCGCTTCATTCTTCAGAGCCAAGCAGCTTGCTCATATTTTATCCTGTAAAAGTCTCTTCTGCCCTCTTACATATTTACAGAAGAAAAGCACTCCAAAAGACTTATGAGAGCATAAAAGCTCGGGGGAAAGAATGGATTAAGGTCTCCAAAAGGCAAAGGTAAAGGACACAAACATGACAACTTCAGGACAGCCATACGGAAAAAAAGTATACCTTACCTCAATCAGGTCAGGCCACAAGATGACTGTGATCAGTGTTTTAGCTCCAGGGACAATCTCCCCTGTGTGGTCCGAAGATGGAGGCAATTCAACCATTCAGCAGGCTGTCCAGCCAGCCATCAGACAATCATTCTGAAAGAAAAAGAATCTTGGTGAGGGAAATGTGGGGGAGCAATACCCTTGCCGGGCCCAGGACCTGCAGGAGAGGGGAATCGATGACTAGAAACAGCTATGGAGTAGAGTTAAGTCGTTTTCCGGGGGGGAGCGGAAGGGACAGCCCAGAGTGACAGATGGACTAGGAGATGATGCAAACGGGGGTGTCCTTTGCTCTCGGGACAAGCTTAGCTGCTGGCTCTTGGGGTATGTCCCAGTCCCTTCAAAGACAAGGGCTGGTTCCTCCCAGACTTTTCACCTTTCACTTCCACGCTGTTCACGTATTTGGTCAGTGTGTACGGAAGGCAGCTCACAAGTACCATCGATTTTTGTATCTTGGTGTCCCTGTCATTTCAGAGTCAGACCACTCCATAAGAAGCACATGGCCTTTCTCAGAAAACTAGCTCCACCGAGGATTTTCTCTGTGCGTGGCAGTTCCCTGGGATTCAAACCTTGGGATGATTTTCCAGCCATCCCTCACTGTGGGATCAGTCCAGCACCCCTTTCCCTTGGAATGCCCTACTGTTCCATGTCTCTTTCTCGCTCTGGTCCACCACTACACTGCCAGGTACCGTGGCACCCCCAGCTGCCCCCAGCAGCAGCCTCGAGCCTAGCCTCGCTCCGCAGATCACCACCCACCCAGGCTCTCTTGCGGAGTAGCTGCTCCCGTCCTCCTCCTACCTGTGTCACCCTCAACAATCCCCTCTCTCCTGGGTCTCAGTTTTCTGGACTGCGAAATGAAGAACAGAATAAAATGGTCTCCATCCTCATTGTGCTTCGAAGTCAGAGGTCCCTGCACTTCAATCCTGGCCCAGGTGCTCCTCACCTTTCCGTGGAGCTCAGTCTGTCACGTGTAAAATGGGAACAAGGGTATCTACCGCTAACGTTACTATAAAGGTAAGAACTACGACACCACGTGCCTGGCGTACAGCAGAGGCTCGAGAAATAGGAGTGCTTCCCATCCCACCTTAGAGGATGCCTCCAAATCTAAACTTTGCTGGTCTTCGAATTTCCAAATCTAGCATTCTCTTACATCCGGGTCCATGGCGGTAATAATATTCTCTTCTGTCAAATATAAACTCCTCCGCTGACTCTCAGCTGCTTCCATAATCTAGCTCTACTTTATCTTCCTCCAACTTCCAACAAATACCGCCTGTCCTCGTCAGGCTAAGTCCTCCTATGTTCCAAAGAACATACACTTAGACCCATCACTCCCCACGCAGGATATGGCTTTTCTTATCCCTTCTGTCAAGGCTCAGCTGAGCCCGTGGCCCTTCCAAGGCCCACGTTCTAGGCAATTTAACCCTCATACAGTGTCCTAACAGCACTGTCCATTGTTTTGTGTTTATTAAGCTCAGTGGTCCAGCTGGAACAGGACAATTCTGATTAAGTTTTCCACTTTAGTGTGGACCACATTTCAGTGTTTACAAACCCAGTATTTTTTGGATCCGCTTTGCAAATGCTTTTTGAAATTTATACGCCTTTGTGCCTTGAGGTAATGAGATTTTTTTTTTTATTAATGCACCATTTTCACTTGCCCGGAGAGGCTCACGCGGGAGCTTATTCCATCAGCAAAAAGCAAACCATACATAGACAATCCAGGGGCCTTCTCATGGAGCCAGGAGATGAGTTCTAAGCACATCCAATGCCTGTAGATTTGGTGTCAAAGCACATGTGTTCTAATTTGAAGAGCCATCTTGTGATCAAACTCTCTGCCTCAACGGGGATGACGCGCAGTGGAGAAAGAGGACTGGCTGCCAGCCTTTTACCTCAAGAAAGATGATCGCTGTCGTTTCAGGACTAAATGAAGGTTCTAAGGGTGATGACTGAACACAGGTCAAGGGAGACAGAGGAAGAACCACCGAGGAAGGAGACACAGAGGAGTGGATACAGGTGCAGAATACCCATGCAGGTAGAGAGGCACACTAACCCAGACAAACATGAGTTTGTCGAAGTAGCTGTGGATGGGGGACTCACAAGAGGTCACTGAACTTAGCAACAAGTAAGGTGGCCGCTGGTGACCCCTGAGGACAATTTGCAATCGAGCTGGTGAAGTACCCAGACTGAAGGGGACTGAGGAGAAACCAGGAGGGCGCGTGGAGACAAGCAGAGACAAGCCACCGAGTTTGTGCTGGTCATTTTGTACCCTGAAGCTTGCCTGACTGAGACCAATAAAAGTACCTCCCCTCGCTTTTTCCCTCGCTCCTCACTTCACCAAATGCACAGAGCTCGGTCACCAAAAACAACGGACTGCAGACCCTTCCACCTCTCCGTCCACCACCACCTGTGCGTGCCTGGTTTGGGTTCTCTAAGAAACCTTCCAGAACTATTCAACAGCCATATGCTTATCCACTCTCAGCATCTACCTACATTCTATTTCCCTGCTTCAGGAGAATGAAGGGGGGAAAAAAAAAAAAGTCCAGATTCAGGTCAGATACCAGATGACTACCTCTGGGTGACATGTATAATATAAGCTAAACTGTCAAAAAGGTAACTTCAAACATTTTTTTCTTCCTTCAAAATAGTGCTTTCTTGTAAGTTTAGAACAATCGGATAGGTACCTCTGAAACTAAGAATACACTCTATGTTCATTAACTGAATTAATTATGAAATGAACTGAGTTAACTGAATTTAAATTTTATTATTTTAAAGATTTTGTGTATTTATTTGACAGAGACACAGTGAGAGAGGGAACACAAGCAGGGGGAGTGGGAGAGGGAGAAGCAGGCTTCCCGCTGAACAGGGAGCCCGATACGGGGCTCGATCCCAGGACCCCAGGATCACGACCTGAGCCGAAGGCAGATGCTTAACGACTGAGCCACCCAGGTGCCCCTGGATTTAAATTTTAAAAAATTAAAAAAAGAAAACAGAAAAATCAGATTTGAATAGTGAAAAAAATGATAAGCATTATTAGCATTTTTAATTGTCTACTTTGGTATGTGTGCATGATACATTTTACAAACATAATACACGAGTGTGTCTCTAGGGACCTAAAGAGAGACTCGGTAACAGAATGATTGCGAGCTGTGTTTTCGGTAACATTTCTTAACAGTAACTCTGGTCTCTCTGCCCACAGTACCCCAGCTTACCAGCTTCTGCACCGTGCCTTCTAGCGTTTGCCTTAGTAAACTCTCTTCCCCCTCCTCTGTCATGTGTCTTGACCACTGAAGAGCCATTCTGGTCACAAGATAAATATTTCTGTTTCGAAACCAAGGCCACTCTCTCTCAGCCCCTACAAACTGAACCCCATGGCCATTTACTTTCCAACATTCCAAATACCCTTCAGGGTTCTTCAGCTGCTTATACGTTGGTGATGTCTATAGTAACAGTATACACGTGGGCTCACTCTTTGGCCGGGGGGTAAGAAGCACGGCTGCATAAATATTTTATGTAGAGCCAGTGCTGAAATTCTAGACGAGGAAGCATTCACAGGTCCTCGGTCATCTGCTAGTTGCCCAAGGTGGCAGATTTTTATTAATGCTGCGAGCAAGCTTTGCCATCTGCTATAGGGTTCTCCTTGCTTTAGTCCTAAATATATACCCTCCCCCACACACACTCCCCAAATGTTTATTTTATTTTTTGATGCAGTAGCCGTGCTGTGGGCCAGGCAGCAAAGGATGGTGGCTGATCAGCAACACTGTCTGCAGTCACTGTTAGTCTAGTGTGTGCAAAGTCCGAGGGCAGAAGTGCACGGTGTGTGTGAGCCAGGTGGGTGAGTTTCCCCATAGGAATATTAACAGAACGAAATCACCCAATGCCAGAGAAGGGAAAAGCAAAAGCTCTCCTGATGTTTTTTTTTTTTTTTAAAGATTTTATTTATTTATTTGAGAGAGAGAGAGCATGAGAGGGGGGAGGGTCAGAGGGAGAAGGAGACTCCCCGCCAAGCAGGGAGCCCGATGTGGGACTCGATCCAGGGACTCCAGGATCATGACCTGAGCCGAAGGCAGTCGCTTAACCAACTGAGCCACCCAGGCGCCCCATCTCCTGATGCTTTTATGAATTCACTGAAGATGTATGGAAAATGCTTAGGAATTGGAAGGCTACTCTTCGGGAATCAACAGGTTTCCAGACTGGCTTTGGAAACAGCCCAATGACAAATGCCTTCATGCACCTGGTTTGGAGCAGGTACAACCACCCACAAATCTGGAGCCATGATGAAGAGCAGGAGATGCCTCCAAGTGGTGAACTGACCACAGGGGACCCATGCTCATGACTGGTTGTTGGCCAGGCGTGGACAGTTCCGACTCCGGGGCGGGAGGCTTCTCAGGATCTCTGTCTCTCTCAACGTGCCTCGTTCCTGTGGTTAGAGGGTTCTGGCTTCCCTGCATCAGGGAGGCTGTGGCCGGCTTTCTTAAGAAGAACACAGCTTAAGAGGAGAGCAATCACCCTCAGACTAAGAGATTCTTGCACAAGAGCTGAGTGTGAAACTTGGAGCCACAGCGGGTCACACCTGCTCGTTGGCTGCACCCCCAGACACACAGGGGCCCCAAGAGAATGGCAGGATGTGGAGCTTGGACTCCTCCTGTGACAAAGTGTCCCCCCACCCCCCAGCCTCAATTCTGACCCAAGAGCAGCAAGGATCAGTGTGAAGAGATGACCCAAGGGGCCTTCTGACTTCATGACAAATAGCAGAAGCCTGGAACTCTGGCACAATCTTGGGAGGGCGATACGGAAAAGAGCCGCAAGCTCAGCCTTTCTGCTACCACCAGATACGCTGATTCAGAGAAATACAGTATTTTTTCACCCCTGAGTTTGTGTACCAAGATTCATTCCCAATTTGAATTAACAACTGAGTGAGCAAATGAACTCCTGAAGCCAAAAGGATTAGTATCTGGTAACCTATATATATTTTCTGAGAGTATTAGTTCAAACTCGTCGATTTCCATCAGGAGATCAGAATGTTATTCAGAGTAAAGGATGTCTCTAGAGCAGAGATTCAGGAGGCTTTTCCACCATGCAGGCATTCACCGTGAACTTCA